ATTCGCCCCTGCAAAATGTAAGATGCTGCTACAGGACTGGACTACGTCAACTCCTAGCTTAGTGATAGGGAGTGAAGTGATAGAACATGTTGATCGCTTCACCTGTTTGGGAAGTTGTATCAGCACCAACGGACTGATTGGCGACGAAATCTCAGAACGGATCCAAAAAGCTTGAGCTGCTTTCGCTAACTTACACTATCTCTGGCGTAGGCGTGACATCCGGCTATCAACCAAGGGACGTGTGTACTGCTCAGCAGTTCGCTCAGTCCTTCTCTATCGCTCTGAAACATGGCCAATACGAGTTGAAGACATGAAAAGGTTGACTGCCTCCGATCATAGATGTTTGCGATCTCTTTCTCACGTTAGGTGGTTTAATAAGGTAAGTAATGTTGACGTTAGGCGTAGAGTGTTGGGCAAAGAGGGAAAATCAATCGACGAGGCTATAAAGTTACATAGATTGAGATGGCTCGGTCACGTGCTGCGCATGCCTAACCATCGCCTCCACCGACGGGCATTACTAGCTGATATAGTTGCAGGTTGGAGAAGAGTAAGTGGTGGCCAAACAAAAACACGGCCTCATCAATCCATGAAATCTTTGACAGTTAAACTGAGTCAGGTAGGGAGATGCAGACTTCCGGGTTGGGGCCATCGGGACTCTAAGAATCAATGGCTGGAGACAACAGGTGACATGGCTCAAAATCGTTGTTAATGGCGCAGATGCATTCAGTTTCTGTAATCCTTCATATACCTTTCTACCATTACCCATTCTGTTTCACTCTTATACTTGTCAAACTCTATTGATTCTCTTCACTCATCTTCTTGTCTACTTTTGTGTACAATTTGGAACGTGGCAACTCGAACTGGCGCACTTTGGTACCAAGTTCTATGTTGAATCCAGACAGAGACAGACAGGATTTCGCGCGTGGGTGATATATGTCCAATGTCACACAAAATTGAAGACTTGCAAGCGAAAACAAGACTGCAGGTGAACACAGAGAAGACGGAGGTGATGAAGATAACCAATCAACAGCAACAACAACCAACACCAATCACCATCAACGGGAGAGCTGTGACACAGGTTACTTCCTTCACTTATCCAGGAAGCATAGTTTCAACTATAGGCTGAACGGACGAAGATGTTAAAGTCAGAATCAGAATCTAAAACCAGTTTGGAAATCTTCTGCACTAACTCAACATAAAGAACAAGATTCGGATTTTCAGCAGAAATGTGAAGTCACTTCTTCTATACAGGTCAGAAACTTGCACTGCATATCACGAAAAGGATTCCTAACAGGTTGCAGACTTTCATCAACAGCTGCTTTTGCTGGCTCCATACTGAAGATCAAATGGCCAGAGAGAATAAGCAACAAAAAACTATGGATACGAACCAGCCAAGAGCCGATCGCTCAACAAATATGTAAGAGAAAGTAGATTGGATGGATCTGTCTGTCTGTCTGTCGGATGGATCGGACATACATTGAGGAGGCCGCCAAATGACATCGGACGCCAGGCCATTGCTTGAGTGTAATCCAAATGGGAAGCGACGAGTGAGTCGTCCTAGGGTGATACGGAAATCGTGTGAGGAAGAGATGAGAGTTTGGTCAGTCGTGGATCTAGCTGAAGAGGACGGCAGAATACAGAAGCCCTATGTTGCACTCGGGACGTAAGGGAATTTATATATATATATATATATATATATATATATATATATATATATAATTGTAACCGGTATGCGGTTATCTTATGTATGGAAATTCAACCACTCTTCATATTGAACCGCGTAGTAACTACTCAAAATCTCGAAAATGTATTCTTCTCATTGTAAGTCAAATGGGACTAGTGGAGTGAATTTCACTATCCTATTTCACCTGTTGTCAGTCATATAAACATACTGCTAGGTCAATTTCTATCAAAAGGAATCATCACCACAAACTAAAAGACAGTGTAAAGACGACACTTAGATGACAGATGCATGCTAACCACTTAGAAGACATACATCACACAGAATTAAGTACACTTACATTTTAAACTGAAACCTGCATTTGTTTCCTTAAACTGTTTTATCTCTTTTATTGGTAGATTATTTTGAAGATCTCCACTGTTTTGAGGAAGTTATTTGAAAAGCATGGAATAGATTTTTTTTTGCATAACATAACTGTGTTCCAGTATTATCCAACACTCCAGCACAAATATTACCTTAGGTTTAATTTATTTTACATCACATATATTTGATTTGTCGCATTCTATATCACTGTTAATATATGATACAAAAATCTGATATAGTCGATTAACCTATTGATTATTGCTCAGGTAAAACTGTAACTTAATAATTGCATTGTACTTTTTTAAATTTAATCAAGTAGCAATAGTAATTATTGTGTATTGAGTTATCAAGGTGAAGGTCCAAAGCGTTACCCGGTCATGTCTTGCATCTATTCCACTGAAAATTAGACAGGTGTTCAGTTAACACATATTCTATTTTAGACATAACCATTGTAAAGAAATACATTTTTAGATCTTCAAGTGTTGGGTTGTAGGGATTTGACTGGTTTACAGGATTTCATCATGAGCTGATATTAGTTAGAGAACCATTGGAAAACCTGGGAGTACTGGTAGACAGCTGTTTCATCCTAGTTTGAGACTCTTCATCAGTACGCATCCACTGGGATTCGAACCCAGGACCTTCTGGTTACAAGGCGAGCTCGTATACCATTAAGTCACTGGGACCCGATCCAATGGCCCATGAATTCTAACTTCTGCCAACTCATCACATAGCGCGACCCCTAGCCAATGTCTTCGGCGAGTATTTGTCCTCACACCCGACCTGCTGCACCCTACTGAGGGGTCGCGCTATGTTGTGAAGTGGCAGAAGTTAGAATTCATGGGCCATTGGATCGGGTCCCAGTGGCTTAATGGTATACAAGCTCGCCTTGTAACCAGAAGGTCCTGGGTTCGAATCCCAGTGGATGCGTACTGATGAAGAGTCTCAAACTAGGATGAAACAGCTGTCTACCAGTACTCCCAGGTTTTCCAATGGTTCTCTAACTAATGTCAGCCCATGATGAAATCCTGTAAACATTTTCAGATCATTGGAATAGAACTGCCTTGGTGATCTCTCAAGTCATTAACAGTCAAGCAGAAACCACATATAACAACATAACTCGATAGTATTCCCATATGTCAACAAGTCCCACTATCTCCGAAATTTGGAATAGATTATTTTAAAAGTTAAAATTGTATGCTCTTAAAGTAACAAAGAGTGTATGCGATTATGACAGTATTATCGACTTTGTACTATGTCGTTCAACCAGTGGTTGTCATCAATCTGTACAAAGCTAGACAGTTTATGCTTCTCTTAGCTTGTAAGAGAAACAGTGCAGTACTTTACACTTGTGAGATATATATTTCTCTAAAAAAAAACTTTTCAGCCACTATCTCCGTTAAGGAAAGTAATGGTTTGGAGAATATAAAAAGTGCACTCTACCTTACATTTAGACTGGAGTAGAGCGGTGGGAAACCGAACACTGCTTTAAATCAAATGAAATATTTTCCATATCAGTACAACTTGCACGACCCGATTTATTATTAGATTTTTCAGGTTAACCTTCCGAGTATGCCCTCATAAAGGTCAAGTAAACGTTTTCTCCCATGTCTTTTAGACTGAGGATGATCCGATTTACAATATCTTTTTAATGTGTTATTCGTACCTTTGAAATTCCATAAGGAATAAGCGTCGAACTTTATAAAGACTACACGATGAATTCTGAATTGTATCAAAGTTAATCCTGTTTTTACCTTTGTATTTTAAGTCAGTGTACACTAAAACCAAATGAAATACGATTGTGTGCTAGGATAGTGTAAAAAACACAATTCCAGCCTCACGAAAGATAAGGCTGGAAAGATTCTAGCCAAAAATTAAGCAATGAAGATTCTTGTTTTAAAAAGAATATGAACACCGATTTATGAGATGACACTGCGAAAGCGATATCCTACTGTTTGGATGTATAAGTGTGTGTGTGTGTGTGTGTGTGTAGGTCTTGATACCATATAACGTAACATTCTGATACTTAGTAAGTGAGATGTAAAATTTCCAGTTTGCTTACGAATTTTTCAGTGGTACAACCTGCAGGTAAAATAGTACAAGTGAAAAACCAGTTTTACCACATTATTTCAACAGATTGACGAATTGCATAATGTCTTGTCTAACTGAATACCACTTCAAAGCCTAAGGACACAGAGCAGTTATCACACTGGTTACCATAGTGACTGACAAACATTCTAAATAAAATCAACATTTATTGCTGCAACCAAATGTCAGCACAATCAGTAATAGAACATTGTAGAAACACAAACAAACAAAAAATTGGTTAATAGTATCAATAGCCAATTAATTACTGACTAAAATATAATGTTAGTGGCAAAAGTTATTACCACATTTTGGAAACACGAAAGCGAATTATGTACAACACATTCTGTAAAGCTTTTTGTTTATTGTTATTTACTACAAGGATTAATGACTGTATTAGTCCAAACAATTATCATTTTTACATCAGAAAATACTACTCAGTCTTCTGGTACTACTGAGTTGGTATAGAATATGTATGGAGTTTCATGTGCAACCAGAACACATACATAACCTTTGATATATCGAGAAAGAATATCACATAAATGGCAGGCAGAACAGATGCTGGGGAGCATAAATGTTTTTTCTCTCTAAAAGACAATATACAAAGTACTAGAGTTCAAGAAACAGGCAGCATGCAATCTTGGCTAAGGCATACTTTGTTTTCAGCTCTGGTCAAAGGGATGTAAATGAAGTATTTAAGACACTATAGGTCTTCGCTGAGTTTTTGACCTCTTTCATCAATTGTGCAAGTCAGCAACATAACCATCAAGCTATTCATCAAATAACAATTCATTTTTTTTATCCAAATCGACTGTATATACCAATAGTTCATTAATAACCAATTAAACTTTAAAAGTAAAAGATTTGTTCGTACCTCAACGCTGACAACTGATTCAGTCCTACTCGAAGATCCATGACGTGTTCGAGAATCTCCAGTCTTGTGTATAGCATCCAAGCTACTTGTTGAAGTATTATCTCCATGAATTACAGAATTAGTTGAACCACTTAAACTCCTTGTTCTTTCAGGAAAACCAACTGGGATACATGAGGGTGGTGCGTTTGTATTGCTTGTACAATGAAACATACGCCTTCTCGCTCGGTCATATACTTCCAAAAATGTAAACCGGAGATCAAAAGCATATTCTTTGCCTGTATAAGATAAATTCCATAAATGAGGAGTAACTATCAAATAGATGCAAATGAATATTAATTATCCATCAGTATGTTTCATGCAATACAATTTTGAACATAAATAGTAATGACTAAACCACAACTGACTAGACATACTGCCAGTATGTTTAAAATATTTGATGACAATATTTACAATGATCCCAGTAATTTTTAGCTGACAAAAATTAATTCAAATGGATTTCTGTATTTAACGGAAAGCAGCGATTTTTATATATTTCAAATACTCATCAGAAATGAATTGATGCCAAACTCTGTTTAAGCATTCTAGGGATGATTAAACAAGAAATTGAAATCTCAGATGAGAAACTGTTTATAAAATAGTGATTAATTCGACTACCAAAGCCCCACCTATAGTGTACAACGCCGGATGGTCTAATGTCTCCTCTTACCTCACTCCCTTTTTCTTTTGATATAATCACTATTATCATCCGTGTTATGCCTATTTTCATTACTGACTTCACCAAGTCTACCATTGTCTATTTTTTACCTACACGTATTAAAAAGAGGATTTCCAGAATGATGAATCATTGATACACAAACATCAGTCAGGAAATTTCTTTATCTAGGAATCATTTTGCAGGTGAATCGCGTTAAAAAATCTTATAAACATATGTCAATAGGAATGCATTTCTATAACTTCAGGGGGTGTTAATGTAGCTAGACGACATTTCAAAATGCATAAACCAAATAGTTCAGATTTCCTCATTAATCATAATCATGTAAGCAGTGAATAAAGATTATACTCGACAATGCCTGGTCATACTTTTAGTACTATTTGTACCTTAACTAATCAGTAATTATGTAGAAGTTTGTTATGTAAGATAAACTTCATTTCATATTAAAAATAAAAGAATTGAAAATCACAACTAACCATTATGATCAAACATTGAAGAGAAGGACTCTCGTACAGTTTGATCAAGCAGAGATTGTTTTATTGAGTCACTATGGAAAAACGCGTGTACCTCAGTTATTGTACGATAAAGAGCATAAGCTAAACGAGTTGATGATAACTGATAATTTTGGCCTTTCACACTGCCATCATCTTCGAGGAGATTTAATGTAACAACTCGTGCACTGTTAGTGATTGTGTGAACTCGACAAAATGGAAAACTACATTGTTTATGGGCAAAAAACAAAAAATAATGTGTATTAACATGGCATAATTGTTTGCAAAATTGTCAAAATATTATTTACACTAATAACACGGACACCGGTTTAGCCAATTTACTTAGTCACATATTTGAAAGCAATTAAACTGCTCACGGAAATATAAATTAATTCTGAAGTGTTCCCCTGGTCTCCACTGGATACATGCATCAGTGAAACCGGCTAGCTGATTTAATACTTTACGAAATCATTAAAATGCCTTTATAGATTTAAATACTTCCAATAAAGAAAAATGAAAGGCCATTTCCTATATGTGTGAGTATTTTTTAACAAAACTTATGTTGACTGTTTTGGTAGAATACTCGTATTGCAAAAGGCTACTGAGAAATTGAATCAAATGGTCAACTTCAGTCGTGAAGCTTTCGAATAAATGTCCTAGATTATTCATATGTACACTACTGCAATACTGTTCACTGGATGTTATTTTGTACACAATAATTATATGAAGATAAGAGCAATTAATTGTACCTGAATCTTCATCCCGTAAGAAATACTGCATCAGTGTGGGCTATTTGAAATAAACAAAATAACATGAAATTATACTCTACCAAAATGTCCACGATATACACTTTAACTTCCAAACAGTTTCAACTCAAAAATTATTGAAATTTAGCCGTTAATTAAGTGATACACGTAAGTACCTAATACGTGTACTGTACTAATATACTAGCTAGAAATATATTTGATTCACATTTCTAAAGTTTTCCACCTTAATAATGGCATCAAACAGATCCAGAAAATGTAACTTTAAAAATAAACCCTCAATTAAATCCGCATCACCCATTCAGTTCATGACTTAGAGATTAACATACTACAAATAAATTTGTTCAATAATCGTTCATATCTCATTATGTGAAATATTGAATAGCTTTGAGAAAGTGGGTACCAAATGATATTCATTATCAGTCATGTCTATAATTTTTCTATCACCTATTAAGATTAAGCACAATTTGTGAAATAAATCTATGTGATGGTTTAGTATTAAGTGTTCGTTGAGCAGACAACCACATTTTTGGGTGCACATAGTTCAAGGTTAAAAATGACTCAAACAGTCGTTTCATGTTACAATTATATCAATGAATGAACAGCAAAAGTATACAACTTCAAATCAATTTACTGGATATGATATATAACTGAAAAGCTTGAGACTTTTATCGATATATACATATATTTATTAATACTCACTTTTGTCTTTAGACAATTAAAATATCAAACATTTCACAGAAAGAGTTCATGGAATGCGTTGACTTTACGGAATACTGAAGAAATTGTCATCAACTAACTGAAAAATTACTACACTACTTCTCCCTTAGTGGAAGCGTTCGGTGATAAAAACCAACTTGACTGACTGAAATTGTAGCGACTAACCACTTAAATAACTATGACACAGAAGTCTAAATAAGAACCGAGAAAAATTCAAATGGCTGATGTAATCTCAACATAAGAAAATAAGTTAAGTCATTCACAATTTTCGGAAATTAAGACTGGTTTGTTGGATAATCAGAAACAAAAATTCATATCAACAGCGGAAACATATTAAGTATTATTATTATTGCTCCCTTGAGTTCCTAGTGGAACATAGGGCTTCAACTCCACGTCTCCACTTGCTTCTGTCTTCTGCTGTACTTTTCACCTGCATCCATGTTAGTCCATACTCTTTCAACTCCTCTTCACACGATCTCCTCCATGTCACCCTTGGACGTCCCAAGGTTTGGTAACGTACTGATCACAAAAGATGTGAAAGTATGCAAGCGAATTGGGGTTGGTGACTAGAATAACAATCTAATCCGTCTAGCATCTTCATCTATAGTTCCAGGTGACAGAACATTGAGCTGATAATCTCCTGTCAACTACGTATATTTAGCTAGTGCCTGAATCCACCTTGTGACTTTAAATAATTAAGTGTAAACATGTTGGTTAGTTTAAAAATTAGATTCGCTGATGAAATAACACCACATTTTGCAGCAGACTTAGTCATCAAACGTTTTCAAACCACTCGATGTTATAGACTTTTAAGACAACTGTGGTCTGTGTGTAACCTTTTGACTGACATATAAGCATTAAAACCACCTTTAGTCCCTTTTAATGCTATGTAATCTTGGCTGCTGAGTAGCGCTGATGTCCCTCTCAGTACACATAATTAAACTCAGCTAGTGATATGTTCACTTATTTGCATTATATGGGGCTGTACACTTCCCAAAATCATTCGCAGTTGAATTTTATACTTTTTGAGAAGTTTGAGGACTAATCTGTCTGTCTGTTTTCGACATAGAACTTTGAGAACCAATAAATTAGCCAGAATAATAGTATAGCACACTAAAATCTCCATAATACTAGGTACATTACTGTTGATCAGCTTTTAGTAAAGGCTTCAATTCGCAAATTAGGTCTTGTATCGTACCAATATTTTTTCACAGCTGTAGTTGTTACCAACACTATCAATAATGCTGGAGAGTAATAATCAACATAGCTCCAAAGATTGTACCTGCAACTGGATAATACTATGTATCCCACAAATGAACATTTAAAATATTTTAATCCCAAATTTGTGGGTTATCTTTATCAACAGTTAAACCAACAGCTCCATTTGTGACTAAGATTCTTGAATGCTTGAAGAAAACTGTTAGGCGGTTTAAACTGCATTGAAATTGGCCATAATCAATGCTTACTACGTGAGACAACCAGATTATTAACTTACAAATTAGAATAAATTGTCGAGTATTGAGAAACAATATTTTTCAAAGGATCCGCTAATTAATACAATACTCTATTATCAGCGAGTCAGAAAGATATCCCATAGTTATCCACGCCAAAATAGGTGGAATGAGAATTGAACTCAAGAACTTTAGCAGAAAATGAAATGATTACGTCAACTAAACACATGCAATATACAAGGTAGTACGGTCTTCCCTAATCAGTGCTGGTTCCCACACTGTTGGAAATAGGATTTCTAGCAAAAATAAACTCCACTACAGAGTGCCGTGCGACTGTTGACATGTATCACAGAACGGCCCCTGGTGTTAGGGCTAAGGTTCCGTTTTTCACGTAATAGAACTAAAACTCATATAGCGTGAGTGATGCAATGCAGTACAGATAAAGAAATTATTTTGAACAAATTAAGAAAGTGAGCGTTTTCATATGCCACTACCTCACTTATGTATTTCCAAAGTGAGCTGTTGCACAAAATTACTCATCAATTTACTAAATACCATATCTACAACATTTCTGAAGAGCATTTCTTGTGTACGCAAATGACCCACACAAACTGGGTAAATGACTACAACCATTAGAAACAGAATTAAAAAGGGGATTGACGCAAAACTAACAGTCAAGGATGTCTGAAAAATTAAGAATTAAGAGCAAAACAAGTCTTTGATTTTGAACGAGCTGGAGTACTTAAGAGGAAGTTTATTTACATGCAACGTTATGAGTAATTAAAAATCTATCTTGCAGATAGTATCATGTGTCGGATAACAGCTTGCAATAGGACTAAAGTAAGGTAAAACCACCTAGTAAATGTCTCAGAGGCCGATAGCACTTCTTTTAGATACTTCAGCATACTTCATAATTGTCGTTTCATAAAGCAAACAAAAGCTAAGATGTAGAAGAATGAAATTGACCACATATTCCTGACAAAATGTAAGCTTAAATGTAGCCCGTTCCGAATATGAGAGTGAAACTTGTAGGTATGGTAATTGTAGTACAAACTAAAAACGAAATACATGGGGTGCTTTAATTTCCTAACGAATCAAACATTATAAATAGGCTATGTATGTTATCATCGTTATCTATACTGGCACCTTTCTGTCTGGTTAATAAGGTGTTATAACTGGATCTATCTGGGTCTGAAAATGATCGCGTTTAAGTGAGACTGGGTTTAACAAATGGACAAATTAGTGGGATCTAAAATACACTTACCGTTCGATAACCTCTCCAGTTGAATTGCAGATAACTATATCATTTGGTCCAATACCAAGCAATAACTTGCGGTCGAATATGTCCTTGATATCATAAAAGTAGGTCCCATAAGACGGGAATTCTCTAGAGACGATTGACAGAAGCTCATATTTAGCATGTGCTATGGTGATATCCTTTAAGTCTTGGTGAAATCTGGCGGCCATGCGAATGGCTTCCGGAGGAATTTCATGGCGGCACTCAGGCCAAAAGCAAGCATACTTGCATGGCGTGGTATTAGGATTGTAGTTACCAAACTGCACATAAGCCATAAGTGCTATTAGTTGTGACTGTATCTCCAATGTTGTGCCAGCATCCCACGACCCATTTTTCAAATGATAAACGACATTTGTATAAAACTGATGCCTTTATCACAACATGAATTAATTAAGAATAGTGAAGTTACCTAGTTTCTTCCAACTGAAGTGTACAGGGTGGAACGAAATACTTGACGCGAAAGAAGAGGTGGTAAGGAGGTGAACCAGGGATCTGTCTAGACAATCTATTTCGGCTATTCAACCAGTACATTTCATTCTTCGACCCGGCCAACTGAATGCCGAAATAACCAGCCTCCTCAACAGTTCCAATTAATTTGCACACCTAAGAGGAATAAAATTATTGTATATTTTTCAGTCAAACCTTGTCTATCACCTCCTGGCAATCTGCCTTGTGATCCACTTCTACTTGATAAACCTGATTACTTGCTAGAGTGACGTAGCACATAATACTAGATGAACTTTTGCCAGAATCAACAATACTACGTATCGGATTGCGTTTATGATTACTAGACTCATGGGAGTTTTGCAGTGACATAGTCATCAATATGTATTCAATAATGCTATTAGGAATGGTTAGTATTCCGCAGAATTAATTAGCAAAGTATCGGTGAACAGAAATATCTCATTTCAGATCAAAAGCGACCCTTTAAAAAGGCCATGGAACTGAATAACTCAAACAAAATCTGTTGAATAATATTTACGTCTCAGTACATAGAATAAAATGGCAAAATCATTTCAATTTATTTACCCAGATTTATTTTTTGAGTTTAATTGTTACTTTGAGTTTTTTCTAATCGGGCAAGGAAGAGAGAAAGGAAAAATCTATCTCTTCCAGTGTTCAATATCCAATCTCATTTCTACGACCTAGCACAAACCAATTTTATTTCTGTGTGCTCACTTCTTGACTGTCAGGTATAAGTTTCTGATCTCCAGTGAACTCCTGCGTAGTCTGGTTGGAAATCGGCTGCCATCTCCTTTTTGTGCTAATAATCTTGAGTGTGAAATCTAATGTAGTGTAAGTGTGATATAACCAATCAGAACATGGCGTCTTTGTTACATATCCCCGCTAGTTATAGCGTTAGTATCCGTTGCTATGTTGGTTTAGTAACCATTTACGTTTTTAATAGGCTTTTTAGGTGAAATTTCGCAATAAAAAATATTTCTGGCCCACGTAATATCGGTAGCATAATGTAATTGAACTGCGTTAATTTTGCAGCATTTATATCAGGAAATGTCTCTTGATACTGATATCTGCGCAATGTGATGGTTTAAATAGGGTAGGAGGTTCTAAATGTAAACGTGTATTTTTGAATTTTCATGGAATCATACTAGTATATTCGGCATATTTATTGAAACGCTACTGCCTTAATTCATTTTGTAGTTTATGGTATTCATAGCTCAATTTCAGAATTCATTTCAGTTTTCATGTACAGTCAGCTTTCCATTTTAAGACAAAAAGCATCAGCACTATAGTCATTATATATAGCATTATTGTGAGCTTGTGTTTCGGGTGGCCTTTAATTTGACATAAAATTTAATTGCTGCAATATTCCAATTTCATGGAAATATCTTAGGCTTCTACGCGAACGAAACTTTTTGCCCTATATGGAACAAAGACAAGGTGTTTAGAAGGTGAGGAAGACTTTATTTTTCAGTTTATTCGTAGAAGTACTGTTGCTCATCGAGTTGCATTGCGATTCCACATGAGGCAAGACATTATGAATAACTTTCCCTCTCTTCTGCATAAATAACACTGAAATTACTTCACAAGACTCTTCATAATAAGTTCAGTTAGGACAAATAGAAGCTTTTTTACTTCAGTGTCATGAGTTAATTTGTGATATGTGTAGGCTTTTACAGTAATAAATTTGGCAAGGAGACTTCATTTTGAAGTCAGAAGTGCACGTGTCTTACTAAATCTCATGCACTTTCTGTATAAATTTTATGCTCGTCAAGTGGCCATTTAACAATGGCTGAATGTTGCAGTTAAGCCAAAATTATAACTTGTAATTACAAGAATTGTCGTCATTTCCACTGCCAGCAGTTCACAATCTATTCAGTCTGGACGACCACAATACCCATTTATCACTTTACTGGAGATACAGTAACTGGGATTTTTGAAAAGGCGGGACTTCATTTTGTGAATTTCGTGAACTCTGCAGATTGCATTCTATTTACTTAATATTGAAATTAAACTATGGGGGAACTCATAATCTCAATCAAGATGCAATACAAGGCTCATATCTACAACTGTCGTCCTTATTTCAGCTAAATTTAATCATACATGTTGTCAATGCAGTTGAAGATTGAACGATCAATCCTTGGTTGTTTGCTCAAACCAACTTCCCCAATTTTCGCGGAGGCATCAATACGACAGTCATCGTCTCATCAGTCGCTGTTCAGAAAGAAGTCAGCAGTAAACCATCAGAAGTAATACAGAGATTTATTATTGTAATATTTGTTCACAGACCCTAGTAAAAACCATATTTTTATATGTTGGTGTAACAATAAAGAATCCTCGAGTCATCAATCGGTCTTTTGGTTTTTTCGTCCGTTATTACTGAGCGTTTCTGAAAAACTGCAAGGAACAGCGTGGGCCCGAGCGTAGCAAGAGCTGGGCATCAACGGTTTATCAGACGTGGCTGACAGTTTCTGATGGTGAAGTCAGTTTTCGACGGTTTGAGACCGCTGGTGACAGTTTGGATAGTCGCCGTTCATCTTTCCTGGTGCCGGTCAAGTCCTCTTTGAACAAGCAATATCTGGAACGTTTTTGGAATTGGGTCAAGTTCAACAATGCCTGGGTCAAAGAAGGGACAGAGCGTCTTGAATGCAAACAGGAAAGTAAGTCATGGTGACTTGTCTGTTACTTGTAACGATGTGTCTGATGTTAAGCATGACATGGTTGATGTTACTGTTTCGCCGTCCAGCGATAATAGGAACATCAAACTCCCTAAATTTGAACCACGGTGTTTCGATGGAAACCCGGCTGATTATTTACAGTTTGTTAAGGAGTTTGTGATCATGCTGAGTAGTTTTCTATTAAGTGATGAATTGAAGTTAATGTATTTGATGAGGTATTGCACTGGAGATGCTTCAAGAGCTATACAGTGCTGTAAGCTCATGCTCCCTAATGAGGGATACGCTGAGGCTATGAGCATATTACGTCAAAGTTTTGGAAGACCTTCGATGATTGCAGGGAAATTATTCGAGGCTGTTAAGGGTAATGGTGGTCAATTACAGGATGACTCCCAGGCACTTACTGAGTTCTTAGATAATTTGCTAATTTACAAGAATGCAATGATTTCGATGAATCGCATGAGTGACCTCAACTCGAGTTTTATCCTAGAAGTAATAGCAAGACGCCTACCTACTCGACTGCAAAGGAAGTGGGTGAAGATAAGCTCCCGTATGGAGGATGAGGGTATCGAGCCAAAATTTGATGATATCCTGAAACTGGTAAATACTAGTGTCAATCAATCGATGAGCAAGTTTGCCAGTATATTGAATCTCACCCCTAGAATAGAGCAGTCTGAGAGCAAAATGAAATCATTGATGACGAGTAGGCCTCAGAGAGGTAGATATCAAGAAGGCTCCATGATGTATAGTAATGCATATAGACCTAATGTGTGTAACAGGTTTCGTAGTACATCCTCAACAGATAAGTTGCAAGATGCAAGACAAACACGGTTGTGTTTTACACGTTTGCAAGAGGTGCATACAGAAGTGAACTGTGAACCGGTGAGCAAGTTCAGTGATAAGCTAAATGTAAACTCCAGGCCTGACTCCGAATTGTGTGACGATAACGGTGCGGTGAAGAAGTCTGTAGTTGCAACTGGTAAGCCATTGTTGAATAGTGTCACAGAATAGAGTTACTGCTTCAGAGTGCAGTTCTGACTCCAAAAGTTTACAAAGTATAACTAGTCAGAGTGAAGATATAAAACCTTTAATTATTTGTGAGGAGGAACCAAAATTGTCTACTTCTGTTATCAAAGAGTTTGAAAATGATGAACTTGACGGTAAATTGAATATTTGTGATAATGATCATGATAGTGCAGATTTGTCTTTGGTTGATCATGATGAAATGGAGGGAATGCCTACTACCGCTAAGTTAAATAAAGGTTCTGTACAACTTGAACGTGAAGTAGAAATAAATGCAGGTGCAGTTGCAGAAGGCATGCATACTTGTTAGACCGTCAGTGTGATTGATCAGCATGTAGCCCACCTATCATCAGATGATAGCGCTAAACCTGAGCTGATAGTAAAAGACAGCAGTGGTGGTGGTCTTGCAGGTAGACAACTTTCTGAAAGTCGAGCAACAACAGCTTCTGACCCACCGCTAAATTCATCAACTGGTAACAATCAGTCGTCGTTATTGTTTTCATCCACAATGAAATGGACGTCCATGAACTCACGTGCCTTATGCAATGACTATGGTAGTATTGGTGCGTTTGAAAAGACGAAAGATATTGCTCAGTTTAGTGAGAATAAGCCAATTGTAAACGAGAGAGTAATTGTTAAATTGACTTGCATGAATAAAGGCATTTCAAGTTTCAAGTTACTATTTGAATGCTATTATCTTTGGTGTAAATTACTCTGTGCCTACGCTTGGTTGACCAGATACTTCGTGTGTTTGTTTGTCATCTACGTTCTACGATACAATGACATGAGCGTGTTACCGTTCAGATTTGAGGATATAGCCCATAGAAGGAAGTTAGCAAATGAACTCTGCAACGATCATGATCATGCCTGTACAAACGGTATGTGAATCATGTAAATGCTTAATTTATGTGAAATATATATTATATATATTATATTATATTACCTCGTTGTTATTACGTAATTTTGTTAAAATTTTCGTCGTGATTACTTCTGAAGTTGTTTCGAGTCTTCTACATCCATGAATGAATTGATTGATGTTAAGGACAGCAGATGGTGCGTATACGCCGGGGAGGCTAGGCTATTTCTGAGAATGAAACGCACACGGAGATAATTGTTAGCTGTGGTCCCACACGCCGGGGAGCGGGAGTGTAAACGACTGAGGCTCGCATACGTCACCATTACTAGAACTGAGGCAGGATGAGTGACAAGCGATTTCAGTGGTAATTGATAGTGAGTAGATAAGAGGATGTGCGTAGAGTATCATGAGTTGGTGCTATGGTCACGTTGCATTCTGCAAGAGTCATTCTAGCAAGTGGCGATTGTGTTGCAAGATGTCAAGAGGAGGTCTCTGTCTGGAGGCGCAGGTCGTCAGCGATGTGTGAGATTGTGCTGTGGGTATGCTTGTGGTGTGTTGGCTTTTCTGTTTGTTTTCCATTTCAGCTCTGTCCGTGTGACCCAGGTTCTCGCAATGGCATCCAAGTCAACGTGTATTGGTCAATGCAGTTGAAGATTGAACGATCAATCCTTGGTTGTTTGCTCAAACCAACTTCCCCAATTTTCGCGGAGGCATCAATACGACAGTCATCGTCTCATCAGTCGCTGTTCAGAAAGAAGTCAGCAGTAAACCATCAGAAGTAATACAGAGATTTATTATTGTAATATTTGTTCACAGACCCTAGTAAAAACCATATTTTTATATGTTGGTGTAACAATAAAGAATCCTCGAGTCATCAATCGGTCTTTTGGTTTTTTCGTCCGTTATTACTGAGCGTTTCTGAAAAACTGCAAGGAACAGCGTGGGCCCGAGCGTAGCAAGAGCTGGGCATCAACGGTTTATCAGACGTGGCTGACACATGTAACAATAGAATTGGCTGCTATTTACTTTCGGGAGTTTCCAGGAAACAAACTCGT